ATTTCATACCAAAATATATGTAACATATATTAGACGAATATATGCAACCAATTAAATACATCAGTGATAAAATATACTAATATCATGTGATGCTGCAATGAAAGGTTAAGCAGGAAATATGTGAGGTATTTGTAAGATAATCTGAATTTGCATTTTTTTTCTTTTTACTAAATTAAATTATATCAGGCAAACATACTTGTATATGAAATTGCAAATTAAGTCCAATTCTTCAGATTTAACTTATAAAAGCAGATATTTATTATAATGTAAATAACATCTAAAAAAAGTGCTTAGCTCTGCTATTATGCATCTTCATATAGCAGGAGAATAATAGCAGGGGGGATAAATATTATATGAAACCGCAAGCCATCGTACGGCTTGTTGCGGCAAAGCCAGCGAACTATTAAAAATAACATTATCCTTTTTGTGAATGGCATCACTTACGTTTTTGTATTTATAAATGTTCTTTTGCTTGTTCTATACTTCATGTTTATGATAGAAATAAATAAGTATAAAATACTATCTCCTAATATCTGGTGCCGAAACCCGGGATCGAACCAGTTAGATATATCCTCTGCCAAGGACGAATTTTAAGTCTGAACATGAGAAACGTAAACAACGTTTAGAAAAAGTACCTCTCTCAAAGAACTCAAATTAACAAATTAATAGATGATGTGCTACACATAATTTTATACAAAGAATGTTATTTGTTACTTACGTATTATTCGCCTTGCTTTGTTTTTATAATCCGTAAAAAGTATTTCGTCGATTTCTACTTCATTAAATCCTCCGATTTTACCGAAGTAAAGAAAATTGTTCCAATCTGTTAATACTTTGTCGGACATTCAGCTGATTATCTTGTGTCCATAAATATATTATGGTAGGATCACACAGCTTTTGAAATTAATTAATTGCCAGCTGTTTTGTTGAAAGCTTGTCCCAAATATTTAATCTCTCTTTTTTCCTCCCAAAATGCAAGAAAAAATACTGCAATAACAGTTAATTGATGGCCTTGTTCATAAAAACAAAAAGGCTTCAGGTAATGTTTTCAATCTATTACAGTTTTGGTGGTCGTATTCAGCTGATCATAACGTGCCCATTAATCACTATTTTTTTAAGGCAGGATCATATTAACTTTGAAAATAATCCACTGCTTACTATTCAGTAGAATGCATTCCCCAAATTTTAATAATTGATTTTTCAAAATGCAGTAAAAAATTACAACAATAACAGTTAATGTATATCCTTGTTCACAAAAACAAAAGGGGGCTTATCGAAAATCACTCGGATTGCACCACACGAAAGCACATATACTATGAGTGTACTGTTACATCACTCTTAGCTCTGCTAGCATAAATTTAAGATTTTTGCAATAGTCACATCGAAATCTTAGATATCTTCAAACGATAAAAAGCGCTAATGTCCTGTTCTTTGCATTAAAATATCGGACTCAATCTCAAAAATTCATTCAGGTGATGCGTTCGTTAAAACGAAAAATGCTATTAAAAAGAGATGAAAAAAAGAAAACCAATGTCTCTGTAAAGCATTATATCTGCGTCCATCCTCATACCGAAATACAGTATGAAATGGAAATAACGAGCACTATGATTTTTAGCCATACATACATTTGAAGTTATTGTTGTTATCAAATGGCCGGACACTTGCAACTTAATGCATTTGTTGAAATAGCTAACCATTAAATCGTCAGTTAGCTGCTTCATTCTCCAGAACATTTTCCACAATGCAACACAACGAACAAGAGAATTACATCGGTGAGTTAAAAGGAAGTACCATCCAGTTTAGATAGAGAACACCAGGGGAACAGGACCCAACAGCGGCTCAGCGGTAAAATTTCTGAACACTGGTAGTTCGGTTTGCAATTCGAATCCCAGCGAACGGGCTGGCTGCATGGGCGTTTTCGTGGTAACGTGTATACGAGCCAGTTTCCATTAGAAAGTCCTTCACAAAAGTATAAAAGAGAAGGTAGCTTTTTTATACTTTTGTGGTATAAAAGCTCTTTTATGGGTAGGTAGAAGCTTTTTATACTACTACCTTCCCTTAGGTAGCTAGCCTTCATGTGCTTTGCCGTAGTTAACTAAACCAAACGGGGGAACGGATACGAGGGTCTCTCACCATTCTTTCTTCACTATTAAAGCCCTCAACAAAAGCTTCGGCTCGCCGTTATTTTAAGAGCCCCATGTTGCGCAGATATTGTACACTTACAAACATCCAAGTGTCCTTCGAGATTTCAACACCGGCTCAATGATACGGTAATCAGCATCACTTAGCTACTATACAACCAGGGCTTCAGCCTCATATGCCATCATGTAGCGACGTAAAGCTCCTTCGAAAGAGATTTCTTCTCAAACAAAGTGATCCCTTGTAGTACTTTTTATTAGATTTTGACGTTTTAATATACTCAACAAATCTATTACTTTTTCTCTTTTCGAATAATAAGAGTATTAATAACAACAAAAATATTACAGTTGGAACATTTTTCTCTTTTCCCGATTCTCATTTATCGTATTCAGTAACATCAATTCTCTCTTTTTCTTTATTTTCCCTCTATTCGCCAACCTCTTCCCAAGCCTTCTCTTTTATAAAATACGAATTAGGCCCGTTAAATTTCTTTGATTTCTGCATCGATTATCTAAGACCTTGCAGAAAATTAGCTTTTCTATAACCTTACAAAGTAGACATTGACTCTCTTTCTGCAAAAGTACAGATATATAATTAATGAAAAATATGCAAAAAAATACATAAAGAAGTTATAATATATACTTAATAAATTCGGTTACTAGAAACCAGTTTTGCTTTCAGTAACAAGTTTTAGTCAGTACCAGCTGTACAATTGAATAAAAGTTGATTGGAAATACTAACTCTTATTCAATTCCATGTATTAAAATTTGAAACAAATTTAAATAATTAACTACTGAATAACAACTAAAGAGAGTTCAGATTTATTTCAAATTTTACATTTGATACCTCAAAATATTTAAAATAACAACCAGCGGCAACGAGACGTAATTAAAATAAAGCACACAAAATGTGCATCATATTTTGAATCGCATTAATTTAATTAGGTGTTTATGACTCCCACCTAAAATTATTTTCATTTTTAAAATCAGTAGACCTCCTACGACTAATAATTTTACGAAGAAAATAATGCAAGTACGGAAAATCTCATGTCTTCATAAGAAAGCTCTATAGGCATTTTAATTCATATAAAATGCAAATAACTTTTAACATATTTGAATGTACCTAATAAAAGATAACAAAGTTGTCCCAGTGAGTTCAAACAGTAAATCGCTTGCATCTTCATCTAATAAAAGAATTATAAAATAAAAGTAAATCACTTCGACGTAACATATTTTCATTAAAATATACACAGCTTGTAACTAATTCCACATCAAACAAATAACGCGCCAATGAAAAAGAGCTGCAGCGCATACAGTCATTATTTCGCCTTCCCAAATGAACTCCAGTTAAGATATGATTCCTAATGAATCGCTACATCTAATAAATTTCGATCCTCTTCTCCGGTAGCATCCCCCCAGGCTCGTAAATATGATATTCATTTATATCTCCAGAAATAAAGAAAAATTTCCAGTGCAATTTAACGTAAACAACGATATGCTTCGTATTGTCGATTCATTAAGTGTAAAACTCCGACTCGACGCTCCATTATTTATTTAGAAAATGACTAATTGAAACTGCGAGAAACATTTAAAGAGAGCCTTCACAACCTATGCTTATAAGATGAAAACCGTAAATTACTCTTGACAATTGAAACTCGGGTTCGGTACTTGGGAAATTTTTAACCTCTTGCACAAGCGAATACTCCAGGAGGTAAATTGGGAATAATAAGATAAAAAAATTGCCACTGCAGAAATTAAAATTGAAAAATAACGAGTTCTCAGCTGGAGAAGATAGAGGGCGGTGGTTTGTTCGAAAAATCTTATATTTGTTCTGAAAGACGTCGAGAGAAAGTCAAAGAGCATTTAGAAAAGGAAGGGATTTCTGTTTACTTTGTCAACAGAAGCTTTGTTTGCCGACTCTTTTGCATGGCGTCGAACGGTCCTTCTCGATTATATGAGATGTTTGCACAGTAGTGTACCTACCTCAAGACGAGCGTGCGGGAAAATAGGAAAGAAACCCCACATCCTTTCTTCGTGGCGCGAACGAAACAAATGGTGTAAGCGGGTCGCAGCAGCATGAAAAAAAATGACTGAGGGCTGTTAATGATCGGGTTCCTTTATCATACTCAATACAGTTAGGTCCTCGTAATGAATATGGCTTTTCAAAATTCCCTCTGAATGATAAAAAAATCACCTCTAGCGATCATATTTATTGCAGGTGTTGAACTCTAAAATGAAATAGTTTTTGATTTGCAATTTGCATTGTAAATGTTAGTTTAATAATCATAAATTAGGTAACGATTAAATATGTGCAATTCGCATTATGATCCATTCAAGAAGGTTAATTCAAGGACTCGTGTAAATGGAATCTTAATATGACGATACAAAATATCAAAATCACATAACACGCGATTTTACTGTAGGTATTTAATGCACACTAAGTTAATGTATCTGACTCCAACCTACGATTATATCAACAAGGTGATTTCCTCCTACGCAAAGTTCTGCTGAAAATTACCACCTGCTTCAAAATTATCTATTACTTCAAAACGCTTAAACTTCCTATCAATATGAAGAATATAAGAAATCTGAGTTAGAAATTTTTTCTGTACTTAGGAATATATGATCCTTTAAAAATGCAGCAAAATGTTCCGCATACCATTATTGGACCATTGTGTTATAAATCATTTTTCAATTAACCGTGAAATTAACAAATAATAAACAATAGCACAAACAGAAGGAATCCAAGATGAGGTTTTGTTTCAAAACATTAGTTATACTAAAAAAGATTAATGATGCATAACAACAAGCAGTATGTAAATTCAAACTCAATATAAGACAGCGTAAGAGATCTTCGCTTACCTGTGGGCACATTTTGCACTGGTACTTTCTTCCGGTGCTGCCGTTGGCACTGGGATTCATATCATTGGGATTTTGATGCTGGGGTGACATCTTCGTAGGCAAGGGCCCCATGGCCACAGCGTCCTGCGGAGGCACCATTTGGGGTAGCATGCTCTTCTTGGGAACCTGCAAGGAAGGCATTTGCCCACTATGGTTGTTGACTCGGCTGTTGGCGTTATTGGTGTTATTAGCGTTGGCAGGGTTGGTATTGTTGGCATTGCCATGGTTTCCAAAGAGGTTGGGAATCTGGGAGGAATCCACATTTCCTTGTAGATTCTCCTCGATATTGCGAGAATCTGCAAAACGGAAAAAGAAAACTCAGTATTTATGAAGATAAATCATACAGCAAAACGAAAAGGATGGAAAAGTAGACTTAGTGAGGTATAGTACTCAGTTTCCATTTTAAATTAACAGAACTTTCCTCCAGTTTATTTTCCACAAACTATCAATACACCATTTCAGTACATTTACATTACTTAAATTTTTTATACTTAATACATTTGCTATGCTGAAGTTTAATTATGATGACGAAATTATTTAGATGAATCGTTCCAGTGATATAATACATAACACCTACTAATAAACAAAAAGTATTCCGAAATAAAATGAGCTTATTTGTGTACAATAAAAGATAATTTAATTTTGTTTGATTCGTATATCATTTATATGAAATGAGATTTTTTTACAATACCCACTAATGAAAACCAGTAAGATGTTTGTTCACAATGAAAAAAAGTATATACCGATAACAAGCGTTGCAGACTTATAAATCCATTCTACATCCCAAATATGTTATGCCTGTCTTGTGGTAAAACTAATAGAAAAGGTTTACAAACTGTATAGAGCACTGTCTATACAGTGCTATATACTACTCGTTTCTACTTCATTCACATAAAACGCGATCCTGAAAACTCATTTTCATAAAATCATAGGTGGCAAAACAAGAGATTAAAAGAAAGGCTTGTAGCATGTTAAACTTTGAAAAATGTTATTTGTTAGAATTATGTTACTGAAATTAAAATCTTCACGCAGTAAAACTAACTTCTTTATTCTCTTAGTGTGTAATACGTCCAATAATACAAATAACGTCTAGGTTTCAAATAATGAAGAGCATCGATTTTTAGCCCAAGCGGCATTAGCTCAGAAGGGCTATTAATTTCGTTCTGGCATTTTGCGTCGAATCACTATAAACGGCGTATCACTTTTCAAATTGGTGCCACTAATATTACCGCTTTGTATTATATTTAAATAAATTCAATAATGAAGAATCTGCATAAATCTATGTCGCATTGTGATAAAACACCGGTACCTAGAGCCATCAAATTTTGAATAACGTAATCCTCTACCTGAATATGGGCATCTGGAAACCCACATTTGGAATTTGGAATTAGTTTTATAATGTGTTTCATATTTTGTAAACCTTTAACGAATTTTGGGTTAACTAACTCAACGATTTAAAAGCGAGCAGTGGCAACAGTGTACAGAAACAAACAATTTTATCTCCATCGCGTGAGACTGTCTATCGGAAGTTCTAAAGATATGCTCTTTTTAAACTATTTTGTGATACTGCTGTTGAACTGAATTTAATGGTTTAAGCGCGAAGAATGTGATATTCAATAAAGAAAGACAACACGCAAAACGTTAAAAAAATGGCCCTTTGGACGTAATATAAAATCTGAAAACGTTTAGTTCGCCCCTCTCCCCGCCGTAAACGTAACAATTAAAAATGTTCATCTCATAAACAGCATCCATTTCTCACTATTTAATTATCTATACATTTTACGATTTATAACTTGAAAAAACTCGAATGACAACTCTACTCTTTCTCTACCAAATGAATAAAGCAATTTATAAGCTATTCCTCGTTGCATAGAATCATTTTATTTCTCTTTCGCATATCTTTGTTAATTAATATAGTAAAGCTGAATTATTTTGGTACTTATTTACACACAGATTTACAATTTAATTTTCCAGCTAATTGGAGAAGCAACTAGAATGCAGGATATTGTCTCTTACACTAATTAACATTTAACTGAAGAACCAACTTTGTACAGAATATTTCAGAAAAGCTGCAGATAAAAATTAGTTAAAAAAAAAGTATAAGATGTTTTTCCAACTTTTCGGTCATCTTTCTTATTAAAACTCTTTTTAAATTAAAAAGATCTGATAGAAAAGATGTCCGTGCTTTACATATTGAATTTATTAGGCGCTTTTAAAAATAGTTTTGTAAAATAGATGTAATATTTGTAAATGCTAACTCATTTTTCTCAATGGACCAGTTATTTTTCCCTATTATTTATTTACCCCCTACCATTCTTAAAATACCAATCTTAAAACAAAAGACACTACTTTTTCAATAAAAAGTATCTAATCTTCTAAAAGTACTCCAGCATGCAGTTTAATTTTAAGCTGTCTATCTGGTACGTAGAATTCGGATTCATTTATGAAGGAAATCATAATGAAACTTCAGAGGTAAAATTTTGGAAGGTTAGTAAAATTGTACAACGAAATGGAAAACATTTCATTAGCACGTCAAGAAAATTTTATATTACGGATTATTCAGAAAAGATAAAAGAAATATTTCATATTTTTGAGGAAGTACAAATTAAGCTAAGGAAGATCAGGCTGATGCAAGATGGTTGATTTTATATTTTCATATTTCCTGCAAAAAAATACAATTATTTTAATTATGATTTCAGAATTTTAGCCTAGCTTAGTATTTATATATATGTAAAATACTTGCAACTTTTATGATGCTGAAGGAAAAAAATCTGATGTGTATACCACATGACTTCCTTGTACGGAATATTAAATTATATGCATTTTTCTTGCATTTAATTTAAACTTATTGGATTGAATTAAATCTACTTCGCCGACAGCGCATAAACAACAAAAGAATAAACGCATTCTTCAAAACTCACTCTATTTGTTTACCATAGCGACACTCTGGCGCTAGGTTCACTTAACAGTATTATACTATTTCGTTCATATTATAACTCAGAATCTTCTCATATTATAAGTCAGATTGCACAACATTTATATCATTTCAAGAATTCTCTAATCGTTGCCACATATTCTATACAAATACTATAATAAAACTAGAACGATGTATAAAAGAAATTAAGCAAAGCAAACAAAAATTAAATGTTTTTCACAGACGATTCAGTACTTCTCATTCAATTAATTCAATTCTCATTTCGCGACAAGGCAAAAATACATAAAAACTCAAAATACCTGTATTACAAAATTACAAAGTAAATCTTAAACACTTATTTCCTCGAAAAAATTCCAGAAAGGATTAAGCATGATTTAATTCGCAATAATAAATGAAGGCGTTATCTTTGTTGTTACGAAGCTAAGTTTCTCTACATTGGCAACAAATCCAGTACTCTGCTGTTTCAAATGTAAACAAGCAATGGCCGCCATCAAAAATATTATTAGGCTTAGCGGCACTTAAACAACTTTAAAATTGTTGATAATTCTAAAAATATTGCGTACACACTTATTAAAGGCATAAAAACCTTAACCGGAAGATAAGAATAACATAATTTAATCATTTTAAAGCAAAAAATGTACAATTTACAAACATATAAGAGTAAAGAAACTGAGATCACTGAGCCAGGTAACAGAGTGGATATATATATAAATATATTTATATACGTTTGGTGCGGCCGATTGCAACCAAAATACGAGGTGCACAGCTACATGTTATAGCAGTCCTATACAAAATTTCAACGTTCTGAGGCTATTCGTTTTTGAGTTATGCGAGATACGTTCGTACGTACGTGCGTACATACTTTCGTACAGACGCCACGAAACATTCTCTTCAAAATTCATTTTAAAGCAGTTTTTTTAATTTTTTTGGAGGAAAAGAGTATTTTATTATGTCCTTATGTACAGATATCACGCAAAAACATTGTTAAATTTCATTCGATAGCGGTCAAAATGGATATTTTCGTTGAAATATGCTGCCTGAAACTTTTCGTGATTACAATACTTCCTTTTTACTTCGTACAAGGAAGTAAGAAGGAAGAATATTTAATAGTAGTTTGAATTCCTGGTGATTAGGACATGAAACTGTGTTTTTAACCCTCCACGTCCAATTTATAAAAGCAATTTTTAAAAGCACTTTTTCAGGTAAATGAGAAATGCAGACACATATCTAATTAGGATATCAGATAACGTATATGAAAAGAAAAGCAATTTTGAAGAACATAAGAGCGATACTGTCACCAATAAAAGTATGCAAATGCTCACTTATAAGGAAATGACTATAAATTCCTGTAAATAAAAGCGCCTACTTTTGCTTAATAAAATAGTTTTGAAAAATGACTGTAATATAAAGTAATAAAATTCGTTGTAATTAACAGCATTTCAGCCTACTAGCAGCAAAATGGATTGAAAAAATATTGGATATTTGGTTTCGGTAACAATTTTAAATTCAAGTTTTTTAATCGAAATGAATTATAGTCTACTACTTTAAAACAAGGACTTCAAAGTTATTTTTCGTCAAAAGATTTCAGAATATCGAGTCAGTTTCCCTCGAAAGTCCTACATGAAGGTATCTCTCCTCTTAGGCAGATATCCCTCGATGCTTTACCGTAGTCAAATAACTCAACCGAGCTGACGCCCGATTTGGTTCGTAATCATGAGAACAGCAGCTGCGGAATAAAGATGGAGTCATTTAATTTTTCCCCACTTCATCACACAATCGCAATTGCGGGGAAGAAGATCCTGGCAATTGCCTTAAAGTGCCTAGTTTAAAGTAATACACTATACTTGGGTATGAAAACTAACAATTTTCCAGCAGCTTAATTTCCCGCAGACTACATATAAAACAATACACAATCTAAAAAATACAACGCATATATATACTCACGCCGTTTTTTTAACCTTAGAAAAGACATATTTTGAAAATTTCCTTCCCAATTCATACAGCTCGCATATCTCATATTATAATACACGCACTTAAGCCCAATAAAATTTCAAAGAATCATTTCAAGCAAATATTTCAAAGTGATAAACAAAAATGACGTGAAGGTTTTCATTAAAGAATTCTAATCAGTCAGCATTCATTCAACTCCTAGACGTACTCAGATTTGGAGATCATAATAAATTTTACGCAAAAAATAGACAAAGCAATAGAAGGAGCTTCATAAAAGGCAATTATGAAAGAATTAATGATTAATTTCATAAGAAATAATGTTTAATGATTTCATAGATCGTAAAATAGAGTATTTCATTTAATCACACAAACGAATATCTTAATTCATATACATACGTGTTTATTGTCCGTTAATCAAATGGTGGTGGTGT